AAATGCTGTGGGGAGACAGGGCTACCATCTTCCAGGAGAGTGGGGGAAACACACAGCAGTTGTTAATTTATATCCTGGACAATGCTATAAATCCAAGCATTGCTGACGATTCCTGCCCAGTAAACATGCTGAATTTCATCTCCCGTAAAAAGGTGAGCAGACACTAAATAGCAACACATTTTGATTTTCATTTAGCCACTTTAATGATAGGTGATGTTAGCGGAAAAGATAATTTATCTTCAGATTTATTTCATACGAGATAAAAGGGCCTGCCAATTTCTTAAAATTCATTTACACAAGTGAATAAATCTTTCCAAAGAATAAGTGAGAAAGTCATATTTCTTTAACTTTGCTAAAATACGAAAATGCTGATCTTGGGAGTGAAACAGACAGCACTAGCATTTTAATCAAGAAATGAAGACTCCTCTTCTAAATATGAGGCACAGGTTTACTTCAGAAAAAAAAAATGTCCAATTCGTGGAACAGCCTTTTTAACGTATTTTGTCAAAAATCACTCACAAATCAGGAGAGACGTGCAATTTTTATATCACCTTCATTTTTAGATCAGTCCCAACATGAAAGCTACCTAAAAATAGACCGAACCTAACCTTTCAAATATCTGTACTGCTGCATACCAGAAACACAAGCCTTCAGTGCCTCTCATGGCTTTCAGAGCCTTGTGCTGTCTCTGTCCTCTCCTCTAGCACATTATCCCATGTTGTGTATTACATCCAGGCACCAGATGAGCTGTAAGTTGCCATGTGCGGCGCGTTGCAGGATGCGATATGTGTTTCATTCGGGACATGCAGCAAGATCATCAAAAGCAGCCTTCCCTTTTAGCTGTTTGATTTTGCCATAAAAAGGACACTGGCAACACTGAACCTAGTAAGTGGGGATGTGAAAAGGAAGTTGTGGCGGCTGACCCAGCAGCTCTGCTCAGAAAAAGCAAGCTGTCTGATTTGCAGCATACCACTCTTAAAAATATGAAGGGGAACAATAAGCTCTTTTGTCTTATTGTTTGCTACAGTGCTTGTAGACACACTTCTACCTGCTTAGATGAGACTTTCCAACACTGCACTGACGTGAGTGACTGGTGTAGAATTACAAGACAGCAGAATACGTCTTAACTATTCCTTTGCATTGTGCTTTCTAAATTGTGATTCTGCTTGGCCTTAACAGCATAGGTCAAATTCATCCCAAGCACAATCCCAGGAACTTCAGGTCAGTGGTAGCTGAAAAATCAATAGCATTTAACTTGATAAAGTTAAAACAAGGGTGATTTTGGCCCAGGCTGTACAAGTCTTACTTTTATTGTATATATTCTTCACTGTGTATTACGCTTCAGTGAATATATTTTCATGTTCTCTACTGCTAAAAACTCTGCTTAGCAGGTCCTGAAGCCACAGCAGTAGCTGGAACAGGAGAAATCTGTACTAAACCAGGTTGTGGGGCTGCCCTGGAGGCTTTGAGTGACTGTGACTTTTGCTTACATGAAATAGAAAATCACCCTTGTACCTAGCTGCTAGCTAGCTACTCCTAGCAGGAACCGGCTCGAAAGGATTTGCTTTTCTTTGTTTACTGTCAGACTCTGCTCTGACAGAGTCAAAAGTTTATGAAGGCATTTTACTCTGACAGAAACTGAACAAAATAACGCTGATCAAACAATGAAACAAAGCAGCAACAGACTAAATGAGTTCTTTCAAAGAATTTTGGATGGAAAATGTCTTACCTGCTGACAGGGACGCAAGAACAGCAAACAAAGGCATAGGAATAAAAACTATTCAATAAAATATTGATTTCATTATCACCACCTATTCAACTTAATTTTCTTGGCATCCATATCCCTAATGCAGGTTTGTGATAGATCATACAATCACTTTTTAATTAAGCCCTACTGTGCTTTGTATTAAGAACAAGGCAATAGACATTATGGCACAATATATCTACCAAAATATTTCATGCTTATCCTTTTCATTTTGGTATTTAAAAGTTGTTCTCTTAGGAGGTGGTATCAGTATTTAACAACATTCTTGACAGGAAATATAAAAACCAAAAAGCTTCATACTTAATCTAGCCATGTCAAAACTGAAACCCCTTAAAATAATTGCTTTCTGAATATATGGCATTTCCACTGCATTCTTTTATTATTACCCAGCTTTCAACATCTGAGGATGCAAAACTTGTTTCCTCTCTTACATACTGATGAGCTACCAAATGGCATGAGGATAGCAAACTGGTATTTGACCAATACAGCAGAATGGTACATGAAACAGATGTTACCATGTTACAAGAAATATTTAATGAGAAACTGTAGAAGACTGGAAGCTTCCCAGGATGACAGTCTTTTCTCTAGGTTTTCGGTCACTTTTGGTATATTGCACTTATGCTACTTGTGATGGGGCAGATCCTGAAAAACAATAGCAGCTTTTCTTCCAGTAGAGTACTGGCACTTCTCAGAGGGCAACATTCACTTTAATTACTAAAATGTACCCACCTTCTTCTTCCAAGGAAGAAAGCACCTTTGTTGCATATATAATGTGGTTTTAGATTTTAATGCCAGAAATGAATCAGCAAACATAGTTACATTATGGTATACTATTTCTTATTCTGTACCCATAGTAACCAAATTAATCTCAAGGCGCTGCTGGCATTAATTCAATCTGAAGCTCATACTTTGGATTTTACATAGGTGCCTTCATCCTATTCTTCTCAACTAATAAAATGTTAATATATGGCAATATATTTACTTCTGGTTCAGTTCAAGTTGAGAAGTGCAGTACTTTGCAGAAACCTAATTAATATCAATCATATATTACAACACTGTGCTTTAGTATGCACAAAACAAAAATGGTGCTAGCACTGGAGGATGAAACAGATGATCCAAAAATTCATTTCTAGCTGTAACTTCTGTCTCTAGGATAGGGATGGCCAGTTTTTCCTTACCCTTCAGTTTCCGCTTAAAAAAAATCCATAGCATAAAGTCAAGAACTACACTAAATATATCACATATCCTAAAAAAATCCCACAACAAAACAAAAAACAAACCAAACCAACCAACCAAAACAAAAAAACCCACAACCAAACAACAAAACCAACCAACTAAACAAAAAAACCCAACCAACCAAAAGGAAGAAGATTTTGGAGAATGAAATACCAATAGCTCCCTCTATAACAATATGAATTGGGCACACACTGGCAATAAAACAACCATGGTGACCCAGCAGTGCTGCCTTCAGCAGCATCGACTGGTAATGGGTCTTCCACTGGGACCTGCCAGCCCTCAGCCAAAAATATCCAGTTGTTAGTGATTAGCAACCCAGGAATTTTTGCTTGAGCTGCTCAGAAGATATACGCAGTTCAACAGCTGTTGTGTGGCCATCCTACTCAACACCACAGCAAAAAAAATGCAGTTCTTTTCTCAGGGCAATCTGACATCCCAGGCATACTATGAACCAAAATGTCTCAAAATCTACCCTACTCCACATAGTTAGAGGTTTTGCAGCAAGGCTGAAGGACGGTTCACATTCCTTGGAGCCTTTTAATTCCAGCTGCTTGCAGTCCCATCGATTCCCAGGAGCACAAGCATCCCCCAAATATTTTGGTGCATTCCTCATTCCCATCTACAAGAAAATATTGCAGTGAACCATGCCAGCTTGATCCAACCACTGCCAGAGCAATAAGACCAGATTCTGTCATCCTTATTCACCACGTACAACAAGCAGGCCCCTCAAAAGGGTGAGCTGGCATAAGGAGTTAAGGTGATACTTCTGGATGAGCAGTGTAGGTGAGCTATGGCAACCTGGGTAAAGACCCCCACTGCAAAAAGAAGCATAGTTATGGCAGCACTAATCTGCATGGAAGCTCAGGCCTCAAGCCGTAGATGGGTCATAAAGCCATAGCAAAGCTTGACTTCGGCTTACAAAGATCCCGCGTTCATGTAAATTCAAAAGGACGCTTGAGCAAGCCCACAGCCTGGTACACTGGCAGCCCCAGGCCACCACTGCAAGGGACAGAAGACTCAGTGGGTCCCCCTGACAAGCACTTTTCTCAAGGATGTACGAAGAGATGCACAAGCACTCTGATCCATCTCAAACAAAACGCACATACCCCAGGACCACACTGAACAGCTGGGGATCACAGAGCCCTCCTGATCATCTCAGGTTCTGCCTCGCTAACAGCAGTAAAGCTCTCAGGGAGCCTGGTGTTACCCCTGGGCATGCACACAGGGCTCCCACTGGCTGTGAGCACTGCCTGTATACTGCATCCAAGGGCACAATACAGTCCTTCACTTTTACCAACTGCTACAGAGTATGAATTCCTAGAATGGCTCAAACACATACTAATTCAAATATGGGTACTTTCAGACTTCTTTTCTATTCCAAATTATGTGCTTTGCCAGCTTCAAAAAACAGATGGAAAATACGTCCCTAAATGTGCACCCTTGTGATCATTCCAAAAGGAAAGCAGCACCAAGTAGCTTAAAACGTTTGCTAGAAAAACTCTTTTCCATATCATGCAAATAGCAGACAAAAATAACTACTAGGCAATTGATATATACACAAATATTGGTTATTTTAAACAGTAATTTGTTATTGAGGACATCTCACTGAAATATTATAATATTCAATTTCCTTTGCATTTGCATGGAAAAGGAGCTGGAGAGCACATGATCATTCATTTAACTATTACATAAATACGTCTATCATAAGATCACACAGCTTTTGAGCCAGAGTTCAAACACATGTTTAATGCATGAGAGTATGATGAAGAAACTTGTGAACTCACGGGTCTTGTAGCCCAATCTCAATCAGATATGAGCTTGGCGTAAATATGCACAATATCGTGTGCTTTCCAACAGCGTTGCGTCTCCAGGGAGCAGTCTGACATCAGCAAAGGGGACAGGTGGTTCCCTTTCCAACCCAGGAGAGGAAAAAACCCAGTTAAGACACTGTGTATATATAGCAATATCTTTCCTTGGTGTTTTGCTATGGTTTTCATCCCTTAATGAAACTTCAGTGCGTGAACAATTCTCGTAATGTCTTTGCGACAAATCAGTGAGTGGATGTCATGTCCTAAGATATTTATAACACTAAAGGTAGTGGTAAGTGATACCATTTGGCAGCCTTGGTTTAGATGTGCTGAAGATTTTTTCCTTTTGGTTTGCTAAGAATGGAGTTCCAAGAAGCCACAAAACCCCAGTTTCCTTGGTCTAAATGTATCCCTTTCCTATAGCAGGTCATTCTTGTTAATAATGCCTGCAAGAATGACAAACAACAGACAATCACAGGCATAGAGGAGGTCACAACTGCTTTTAGCTAGCCCAACTTTGTAAACTCCATATGAGATATGCTAAACCCTGCACGATCCATGGTTGTTTGATTTTGAATCTCACATTACAAGAATTCACAGACACGCTAACCTGCGTTATAGAATAACCCAATTCGGCCTTTCTTTCCTATCTGTACATAGATACTTTTTTTTTTACACAGTGACAGTCACTGCCTCTTAAACCATTTTCTTTTGTTGCATTTCCTTAGAAACACAAATCTTGTTCCTTGGCAGCAGTTGCTGTAAGTGCTGTACCACATGCCCAAACTAGTTCTCACTCACAGCTTTAATTCACAGTAAGTGGCACGAAAGGAGGTCAACACTTCTCAGAAACCACTTTCAGTTCTTTGCTGCTTCAGTGTCTGTTCTATAAAGCCCTAACAGAATGAAAGTTGTTTCTCATATTGTGTCCCTTGCTTTTTTATTATTTCCATCTTTATGGAATGGGCTGCAGAATATACGATGGAATAAAAGATTATTCCTGGAATCACATTCCTGGTCTCCCTTTCGCAAGATCCTAAAAATATAAGTAAAAAAAAAAATAAAAAAAATTAGTACTTTCCCCAACAAAACCAAAATGCCTTTTTTGCCATGCAAAAAGACTTTTTTATATAAATGGCATCTTGCAACTCAGTGTCATTCACTGTGTCTTACTTTCAGTTCAATTTGCTTGCTTAGAGAAAGATTATATTTTTTATCAACCTGACCAACACATCATGGAGGTTGAAAATCAAACAGCCTTCTTTCTGCTGTGATGCATCACTGGCAAGAGGAATGGCCTTGCTGACAATATTTTGCTGTCACATTTGCTTCTACAGCTTCACTGCCTTCTCTGTGATCAATGAAAACAGATTTTGACCTCATCTATTTCATTTCAGACCATATTCTGCCCTGAGGCACACGAGTACAACCTATCATAGTTATAGTGGCAATTGGGGCAGAATTTGTTCCTTTCCTGACAATTCAATATGTGATTCATGAACCAGAATTGAGTCCAACTCTCCTTTTCTAGAGCTCCTCTTGTTCTTTGGCATTAGCATTGATAAAAAACCAGCAAAGATGAATTTATGTTAGTTGTATCAGCAGAACAGGCTGGGTAGTCAATAATCAGACTGCTCAGCAAGATGCTACCAGACCAAAAGTTCTGTATTTTATTTACACAGTTTATCCTGTGGTCTGCTTTCTTTCTTCACTTACCTCTCTGTTCAACTAATGGGATCATAAGACCTACAAAAATACCTCCTACTCTTGAACATTTCTAATTGGCTTAATAAAGTAAATAGAGAAAAGAAAAAAAAGAGATAACCCTCTCCACAACCATCACTTTAAAAAACCACAAACTCATACCACTAAATGTGGATACTCGGTGTATTCACAGGCTATGCAGTTGCAGGCAATAACCGGATGATCAAGTTTCCCTTTAATCCCCAAGACAATGGCCCACTTTTAAAAATACAGACTCCATTTATATTCACACAACCTGCTATGGGCCAACACCTGCACTCATTCTTTCATACAACTCCCTGCACAGCAGAAGCAAGAACACGCCAGCATACAAGGTATGAAATGAGCACATGTGAATGCCCTCTGAGGTGTCCAGCACTCCACTGATCCATGTATATTGTGGGGCAATCTATGCACGACCTACAGAGAGAAGCAAGACTACCCAGGGACCTTTGGCACTTCAGAGCCAAGACTAGGAGCTCATGTCTTCAACTCTGGAGGCCCACAGTGTCTTACCTGAGATGGCAGGCACTGCATGCATAAATGGTATAGTGATTTTTCTGCAGGACTGAGCTCCCAAGCAGGGGCAAGGTTGACATCACTTTGAAAACCACATCCAAGACATCTAATGAACTGTATGCAGGAGACTAATCTACAGTAGGTCTCGCGTATGGTAAAAATAAACTCCTTAATGTAACAAAAGCACTAATCAACATATTGCGTATTAGGCCTGCAAAGTGCCAATTGTCTGATGAAGAGGAGTAATACTACATGGTTCCAGTTCCCTCAGTTATTTAACTGTTTACATCAATGGAAGCTAAGGAAAACAATGCCTGCAGAGCCACAGATGAAAACACACACAAAGGATCTAAGCCAAGTTCCAAGTTCAGACTTGAAAGTAAGAGGAGAAAAAAACTATTCAAGGATAAAACAACAATACACTCAGGACCTCTGAATCCTGCTGCATATTGCTACTGTACTAGTCATGAGAAAACCTTTTTTGGAAGCAAATTATTTTTATTTCCCTTACTATTTAAGACAAATTTATTCAAAGCTGACACAGAGCCTGATCCTGCCCTTTTACAACCCCATCAACAACAGCCTTACCACAGTTTCCAAGGAAGCAGGATTTACCTTTTCGTGTGGGCCATGCTCTGAGCCCTTAATTCAGTAACACCTTATTCACCAACTAGCTGTGGTTTCACATATTATTCATCCCAAGCAAAGGATTTACAAACACCATCTTGCTCTGTATTTCCGGACTGAAGAAGATAAAAAAAATAATCTGGGGAACATTCTGAAAGGCAGAGAGTATATTCCGGCAGGGGGTGAGGGAGGTGGGGTGGTGGTTACCCTGAAGCAAGGGACCTTCCTGGGTTTGAAAATCTTCCTTGTAGTGAAATAAATACAAGAAATTCCTTCTCTTCCTTTCTTTTGTAGGTAGCATGACCTAAAAAAGGATTTGCAAAGCAGCTTGGAGAGGGGAGAGAGCTCATGTGTTTATTGTTTTTTTGCTTATTTTCTGCAGTTCTTTCAGAGAGCTTCTCAAGATTTTCAAAGATCTGTGAATCTTGCAAGGTTCATATTTTCCAAGTACAGTGAGTCTAGATTCAGTTTCTTTTGTGTCTTAGTATATTGCTTACACATATTACAAACTATCTGAATGCCACAGTGCTTTAAACGGGGCTGCAAATACCCTCTGGATCACCACCAGCAAAAAGCTGCTCCTCCTAAAAGGAAGTAAAAGCCAGTGTGACTTTTTAATCTACTATTTGCTATTTCGTAGAACTGCAGGAAAACTGCCTTAAGGGCTGAGCGCTGCTCCTTCGGTGGCGAAGGAGAAGACGCGGGGTCTGAGCGCCACACTGGCGTCATGCTCCGAGGCAGCGTTCGGGAGGGACAAGCCTGACAGAAGTGCTGATTCACTGCAGCGACCAAGAGGTTGCTTAGTAGCTAAGCTGGGGGGAGAGAGACAGCACAGGGAGGGGGCATCTGGATCGGTGCAAATAAACAGGAGGGAATGCCAAAGTTATTGCAGAGACTGGATCCCTGAGATTGCTGCTTAATACACCAGTGTTGGTTCATCTATCAGAACAAAACCTGTTAATACAGCTCTAGCCATAGGGGGAAAAATACTTGCAAATGCACAGAAGTCATGTAAATCAGAACTGCTGCTCTACTTTACAAGAAATTTTCTCCATTAATTAATTTCATGACTTAGAGCAAATGTGCATGGCTGGAAACAGGGGACCCTGCTGATACCAATCTCACAGCACAGGATACTTCTGTTTTACTCTCAGAGATATATAGCAGATGTACTCCCTGGCTCAAATCCAGGTGCAGACTAGGTGCTTTTGTGGCTGAAGTACTGCCCTGGAACCTGGTTAAGCCTACTAGTAACTTCTTTTGGTTTGAAGTTGCAACATATCACATAAAAAAAACAAACCAACCCACGATTTAAAAATCCAAATTCTCAGAGCTGTCACATTTATTATTAGAATGATCTGATATGACTGGCATTAGCGTGAGCTAGGAACATAGCACAGACGGCCGAGCAAACTAAGCTATTTCTCACCCTTAAAAATGGGATTCTTCCAAGTAGAAATGTCAGTAGAGTCACAAGGGCTCTTTGCAACAGTAGCACCTCTTCATCCTTATACCTACTCTTAGAAAGTCCTGTGCTGTTGCCAAACTTAGCCCAGCAGACCACACCACCCACAGAAGCCCTGTCAACAGCCCTGGCTCACTGTGCGAAAAACAGATCCTCCTCCGAGTAGAAAATTACTTTTCTGGAGGTGCAGGTTGTCTTGGAACTACCTGTAACATCCCGTATCTGGACGTAAAGACAGTGTCCCTGTTGATATTACACATAAAAAGAGATGCCCCCACAGTGGGAAAAAAAAAAGAGGCTTGATAAAACACTGTCACAATCAGTAGATGCAGAGCTGGTTGCAAGTGCAACCTCTTTATGTGCTGATGGAAGTATTTTTCTGGTTGTCTGCCCCCATATTGGAGAAAGAGGACAAGGAAGGAGAGAAAAAGGGAAGAAAAGAGGGACAGAGGGAGGGTATACTCCTCTAGCTACTGAATCAGCACACAAAACAGCAGCAGACACAATGAGAATGGCTGTGAGGAATCTGGCAGCAACAGCATGTTCAGTGAAACAACAAAAAGAGCCTGGAAGACAACAGAAACCCTGATGCCGATAGTAGCATTTTTTTTTTGTCCTGGAAAAGGATTTATGATGCCAAATTTTGGTTGTTTCTTAATACCCACACCTGGCTAAGTACAAATGAAATTAATTTTACAGCTGCAATCTTTCCACATCTTGCACATGGTGATTTGCCGAAAGAAACCCTGTCACGAGGTGTCAAAAAGGAACATAAAACATAACGTGCAACATTTTTTGAGAGATATCAACCGTAATTATGTGAAACTTAAGAAAGCTGCTTCAGGGAGAGGTGGATGGAGTTGCACAGCAGAGTGCCTGGCCCCCGTGCAGACAGATGGCAAAGCTCTGTCCAGGCAAGTACAGTGGGAAGGACACAGGCCCACAAGTATCCAGTAATAACAGTAATACGTCTCTTTCTTCTGCCATCCAGCCACTGAAGTCAGTGTGAAAGTGACATGGAAATTAAAATGCTGTACTCATGGATTACGCTAGACCTTCCCACCTGACCTGAAATGACAACCATCATCCCCCATTCCTCTAACTTCCACACAATAACTCTCATCCCTCGTATGTCCTAAACTAAACCACTGGTCTTAAAAGTTTTACTAGCATAGATAGTATGGGCAGTCCTTATTCCAATATATTTAGTTTTTCCTGAAAATTAGTAGAAACTATGTCCATAATGTAGATCTGGTATTAATGTATACCAATGGCTGGCACTGTGTCAGTGCTGTGTGGGAAGAAAAGATGGTGATACTCTTCCAATAAATAGAAACATTTTCAGAAGGCTATGCCTAAGAAACAACGTGTGATACTTATTTCAGAGTTAGGGCAGGAGTAGTTTACTTGCTCACAGTCATTACCCTCCTTACCCCATGACGAGGCTCTGGCAAGTTTCCTGGTTCTAGTGCTTAGGAGAATGAAAAATGGTGCTGTGCTTTAGTCTCTGTATTACACCTATAAAAACACATCTCCAGGAAAGTTATATTTTATAGAATCACAGAATCATAAAATAGTTAGGGTTGGAAAGGACCTTAAGATCATCTAGTTCCAACCCCCCTGCCATAGGCAGGGACACCTCACACTTAACCATCTCACCCAAGGCTTCGTCCAGCCTGGTTTTGAACACTGCCCTATTGTTTTCTACTGGCGAGGGTCATATTATTAATGCATCCCAGGCATGCTCACAACAGGAGAGAAGAGATCTCCAAACTGGTTACAGTTGTGCTAAAAAAGCATCAGGTCCTTTATAACACAAAATCCACAATTTCATAAAATGGGTCAGTGCTGAAGAAAAATCCCTCTTCTTGATAGTAAAAAGGCAATTTGCTTTCTGGTGCTTTACCTGGTCCCATATTATAAATTAATGGCTATAACTACATTAGAGGACCAAAAGGTCCCAATTTTTTAAGGTTTTGCCCTTCTTTGAACCTACTAGGCTGTATGCTGGCATTAACACTCAGGAAGATATTGCCCCTTTGAGAAAGCAAAGTAGAACACCAACTTCCCTGGTAATCTAGGGGTAAATTATGAAATGTAAACACATGTCTTTCAAAGTGTGAAGAATGACAACCAGTCTTTGCAAATATGCTGAAGAAAACTCTTTTTAAGGTTTTGGGTTTTTTTTTGTTGCTTTTTTTTTTTTTTTCACTTTGGTTTATGGTATTAACACTTGGACTTGCACCTGATATTACTCCCTCCCATTTTTCTCAGCTCTTGTGTAGAAAACACAGCACAGTCCTACAGCTGAGGCATTTTGAAGCCTGCACTACATGCTGTACATGCCACTGCTTGACATTTTATTGACAACAAAGGCCTGCAGCACAGCAGCATTTTTAGAGATGGGATTAACATAATGAACTCCATTTCCATGGGTTTTTCATGGCATTTCTTTATATATAAAAGCAAAAAGAGACCCAAACCAGAAATAAACATTTTTTTCTCCTCTTTCAGGACACAGACTCCTCTAAAATAATGGGGATTGTACAGTCCTAAAGGAGAGAAAAGCCTGTGAGTAAAGAAAGGTATCTGTACTTGGAAGGAGAATGTAACTGCTGAAGAATGAGGAAAAAAAAACAAGATACTGACATTTCTGGCAAGAACAGCCTAAGTATGGGGCCTGTACTAATATGACATTATAGCTGATAGCGTAAGCTCTGTCATGAGATGGTAACATGAACACCACTGAGCTTTCCATGTTGGATCTCCTACTGCCCAGGGACAGGCTGAAACAGTCCATTTGCAGCAATGCAGAACACCAAGGTTTTAAAACTACTAAAAATACATGTAGAAAATCCAGCAGATACTGCTTATCTCAGTCCCAAGTCAAATGGTCCCTGTGCATGTGTAGCACTCAAAACACAGCCACTGAACCCAGCCTCAGTTTGACAGATACCCAGCCCATGTCTGCAGGATGGTCCTAAGTGCAGGGAAGTGAGTAGTGCCCTGAGCAGGAATTAGCAATTTTTTCTGCAGTACTCTGGTCTTCCCCTCTTAAAGCTTCAAGAAAACTCTTCAATGGAAAAGTGTTTGGCAGTGTTTCTCTCTGTTCTTGGCTGGACTCTCTAGCCAAGTCTGAACAGCAGAGCTCTGCTTCTTTTCTTTTTTTTTCCTGGTCCATAAGTAAAACTCCACAATAATTATGGGTTGGTTTTGTTTTACAAAACAAAATGGAGCGACTGTAAGCCATCAGTCCAGCCTAAATGAAACTTAGACAATTAGGAATGACAGTTTCTTCTCTTTGTGCATTTTCTCTCTTTCCTTCTGTTCTGTTCCTTTCTGAAACCCTGCATCCCAGTCTGCCTTTTTGTAGCCTTCTACAATCGCTTCAAAAACTACATAGCTATCTACATCAGGAACTTATTCAGACCCTTTTGAGGATGACAACAGAATAAAATGGCAGTTTGGTATGGCCTCAAACAACAATTTTATGAAATTAATGTTGTAAAGGTGCCTTAGTAAGAGATCAAAGAGAAACCAAGCAGTAAAAAAATCACAGTGGCTACCAACTACAACAATAATCTGCCTGTGACTGAATTGTTGGCTTTAAATTAACACGTTATATCCTCTCAGAAATTAAAAGTGCAAACTCAACATGCCAACTGCTTACAAAAATGGAGGAAACATCCCTGATCGCTGTTGGAAGCAGAGGGTATTCAGCACCTTTCCTAGAAGTCCTGGCAACTTGCAGAATCATAATCATTTTCTCTGAGAAGCTCTGATGTGCTTTCTGAAAACCAAACGCGTTTGTAGCCCATGCCCAATCCCTCCACCCTGGTTCACAACCTTTCCTTAAGGAAGGCAAGTTATCTATAGTAATCTGAGGCTGCACTTTTTTTCCTGATGTACTTCCCTGTGACTTGAACCCACAGTTACATAAAAGTACAAAGCACGGACAATTCATTCTTAATGCTAGCTCATTCCTGGCCTCTCCTGGGCACTGGCTGAAAATAATACTAAACCACGCTGAATCATTTACAGTACCTTTATGATGTGGATTATCATGCAGAGAAAACTGACCTGACCCCATCACACTCTTCATGAAGCAACACAGACTGGTCTAAAACCAGTCTAATGAATGCCACCCACATTGACACCAACACAAATCATGCATTCATGTAGAAGGCTCACACACAGAATAAAGCTGCTTTAAATTTATGTTTGTATTAAGCCTTCAGCAATTGTCATGTCCTTGCCTCTCCTGTTGGCATAGGGAATGCTTTAAAGCTATAAGCTGCCCAGACTTATATGCAGGTCTTTTTTACTTCAAGCAGCTTCCCCACTCTTATTTTCAGAAGGATGCTAGCCATTGTGAGAAAATATTTTGTTAATCAATGCTTCCAGCAATCACACAGATTTCTA